AGCCGCCGAGTCGAGACGTAGAGTCAGCCAGTCAGTTGTATTCTGGCATTTGGAGTGTACTAATTGTGATACTGCAGATAGCAGTAATCGTCAGATTGTAATTTGGGTGATTGTGAGTGCGAATGTGAAATAAAATTCGCTACACCGAATACATCGAGAATTTATTTGTCGCGATATACGCCCGATACGCGACAATATATATAAGCCCCCTGTCAGTCCACAACAGATTCTGCCTTATTTTCATTAGCTCACGCTAGAGCAGCAATTTAGTCACATCAGCGATCGTAAGCTTCACCGCCGCAAAATAAAATCCTCGTGTTCTTTCGGGCTTCGCCTCATCCAGTTTTCCGAACATTTGCATTTTCACGATCTTCTGTGGCTTCTGGTGCTGGCCGCTCTACGCTCTAAGATATTGGTTTCCCGACTTTTAATACTCATCACAATGTATAGCTACATTCGTCAGACTATAAGCAAAGTAAATGTAAAGTCACCAGCTTAAGGCCCTCTAAGAACTGTTTGCTTTACTACATACGCCCGTTCTTCTCTGTTTTTACAGTTTGTCTCCATTTCTTTTTATTTCTAGTGGGGTGGGACTACGTCCCTTGTACTGCGACCACTTCTTGCCCAGATGATAGTTGAGGGTGATTGTGGGGCAATTGGTGGAATGAAGATTAGCAGGGGAAATCGAAGTACTAGGAGAAAACCTGCCCCAGCGCCACTTTGTCCACCACAAATCCCACTTGAGCAGACACAGGATCGAACCCGGCTCGCCGCGATGGGAAGCCAGCAACTAACCGCTTGAGCTATAGCGCGGCCGTCTCCAATTGTTAATTGCCTACTCTTTGTATCCCCCACCACCTGAATCCTGTGTGTGTACTCTCCACTTCCATTTTGTGAAGTACTTTTAAAAAATTTCTCTGCCGGTTGTTGCATGAGTATAAAAATATTTAACAGTCTGCCTGATTATTTAACTGATTTAGTATATGATAAAAGAACTGTTTATGAAAGAAATAAGGGATGTCCTAATACATAATCCGTCATATACTGTTGATGATTTTTGCTCTTCTGTCGGGATCAACAGCTAAGGAATAGAAGGGGAGTGCATGCTGAGTGATGGATGTCCCACAGTAGGCATCAATATACACATTAAGCGTAAATATAATTTGTATTTTATGTATTTATTTAGATGCACGGTGTTTGCATTTATGTTTGTTATTATGAAATGGCAAGTAGGAATTGTAAAGTTGTATTCTTGTTTGTAAAGCTTGTGACATGTTTCATATTCAGTGCAGATTGCTCTTATGAATATCCTAAAACGCAGGTGTAATTAAATATGTATGCGATAGCATGACCAAACCCACCAAGCATCTTCAACTTCTCTTTTTAATACCTGAAATCGGATTTGGGATATTATGTAATTCTCGGCAGGTTCTAACTTTCCAAACCCATTTGCTCCCTCATTCAGCTTCTGCAGAAACAGAAGAGAAATTATATTAATGTATTAATTCTAACGGCGATCGAGGGAAATATACATTACAGGGTCCTTTCATACTGGGATCCTATGTGTGTTGGCTGCCCTGCTGATTACCAATGATCGGTTATGATGTGCCATAGTCCATGCTCTTATATCTTTAGAAAGATTGTTTGTGATGTGCGTGTGTGCAGGTCCTATAAATATAAGATTTCATTTATGAGGAATTTCACAGTGTTACTTATCAAATCCAGCTGTAAAGTTTATGAATCCATTTGTGATTGGAATCTGCCTTGTTGATTGACGGCGATGTTTAACTGTTCGTATCCTATCCGTGGGAAGCTAGTTGCAAAGTTTATCGACACATTTACTAGGTAAGGAATTTATCAGTTTTACTTAGAACATAATCGACATACCGGGCCAATCATTTTATTTATCTGTGCGACTGAAGTGTAGTGTTAAAGAAACACGATTGTACTCGTACTCAAAATATGAAGGTTACTTTCGTAATAAAATTGAATACCCAAATTAATATCATTGTGTCTGTTAATGTGTTTCCTGTTGGTAAGTATCTGTTGATTACATTCGGTATGTAGAGTCTTCACTGAATGTTACTAACGGGATTTCATTTTCGTCACTTTAGTTGGAGAGGGTTTGATGAAATCATTGAAACACATGTGTTAATAAAGAGTGTCATGTAGTGTTGCTGTTTTGCTTAATTAAGTAAGCTGTATAACTGATAAGTTTCTGTGTCATCAATCAGAAATACTGAGATGGTTATGAAATGTGAAGAGAGGTAACCATAGTCTGGAAGTACTGAGTAAAATCATAACTCACCTTTATTTAGTGCTGAGATCAACTTCACCTTTACCCTCTGACATAAACTTAAAGCAGAGCTTTTCACTAAGGGAAATAAGTTTACAAACTTGCTCACAATGATTAATTGCCCTAACATATATTTAATATTCATATTAGAATATTATTTTTATTGGCATTTAGATAAATAAAACAGGTACATAGAGCTAAATTGGTAAGGGCCGAGCTGTTGTATTTTGAAGTTAGATTATTCCCATACTTGCCTACAGATGGCTGAAAATATCCTTGCCACTTACAGGAATACGCCATATATATTGAAATGATAAATATCATGTAAAATTTGGGGAATTGTCGCCGGTATTTCGTTATCATCTTTTCTTGGTTTTGCTAACTGCAGTGAGCAGTATCGAAAAAATGCAGCACAATTCCTTTTGCGTCAGTGAGTGCAAGAGATGAGTAACTCCCCTTCTAAGGCCCGATGAGTTGCCTTTGAACTCGTCATAGGCAGTGGATCTGCAGGCTTTGGCCCTCTGAGCCTCTGTGTCATACACTGGTCTTACGTGCCTGCTTCTGGGTGGCTATAACATGGCACAATTTTTGGCCCTAAAGCTATAGACATCAAGTTCCAGTACGTCGCTCAAACAAGGCAATTTGTGATGACATTCGTTATCCTTCCTGATACATGGAAGAAGGAACTTCTGAGGCTGTTCATCCAGACTTTTGGTCACATTGAATGAAGAAAATTTTGATGACAGTCATCAGGTTTCCGGTCATGTAAATCGTGTAATTGTGTGATTATAGTCATGGTTTCATGATGTACAAAGTGGGACACGCTTTTAGCTATCGGTAATAATCAAGACCGGATTTTTATGACCTAATAATCACTTAAATATTTATCCATTTATGCATGAAAAACCTCCGAAATATGCACATTAAAAATTTATTTTACATTGTTTTAAGACCAACAAATCCCCATTTAAGTTAATTTTATGTAAACACTGAATGATTCACTTGTAATAAAAGACTATACTTAAATACAAATTATGCAACAAAGCCAACATATTTCATTACAAATTTAAAAAACAATGGTACTCACATTTAGCTCTCCGAACTTTCAACTTCTCTTCTGTTGCAGTTCACAATTACTAAATGTTTTAAATTTTCCATAGTTAGTCGCCTCGTATTGTCTCGTAAGGTGTCGTTAAAGCGGGAAAACTTCTTTCCACCACACAAGAACTTAGGGCCGCATGTAGAGAAGCCGCTATTTGCTCCACTGTTAGTTATTTTTTACTTGGCAATTCAGTACGTTTACCAGCTAAAATTTCTTCAATTTCACAAATTTGTTGATAACCTGGATTTTTTAAAGAATGCTGTGTACTTTTTAATTTTCTACTTCACCAACTCTTCCATGAACCGAATTCAAATTGGAAACAGTGGTTCTGAACACGCTTAACGACTGATACAAAGTAGTATTGCTTGCCTCCAGTGAGGAAATGGAGGATGGAAGATGAGAGAATTGAGCAAATATATAGGAAAGATTAGTTTCTAGTTCTGTGTTTTTTAATACATGTCGGGCAATTTGAATTGATGCTGCACTTTTGGGATCAAATATATTCACGCCATTCCTAACTGTTTCTAAATGTTCGGTATAATAACTCGCTGCACACAGCCACGTGCCCCAGCACGTTAAATTTATTCCGGTGGAAGCGGAACGCTCAGTGCTACTGCTTCGAAGGGTTCTTTTCTGTATGGTTCTTTAACAAATACCTTCTTCAGAGAAGACACCAACTTGTCAACAAGCGGAAAATTTGCATGAATTGTTTCTGCAACACGGTGCAACCCATGGGCAAGGCAAGTCAAATGTGTCATATTTGGAAATATAACTTTAAGCAATTTTTGAACAGAAGCACTTTTCTTGGATTTAATTTTAATATTCTCTTTGTGTATATTAGTGTTCAAATGCTGAAGCACCTAAAATCGTTTTTCACAACCAACTGTTTTCTCACACGCTCGGCAATAAAGAATTTCGTTATCCGTACTTATCATCTTTCCTTCGAAATCCCGCTGATACAGGTATAATTTAGTTTTCTGGCTTACTATCACTTTCGGCATGACTACAGAAACCTAAACAAACTTAACTACAGACTAGTCACCACTAATGTGAACGGCCCCCAGCTTCAAATGAAGAAGCGTTACGAACCTCATGGAGACTTCGGAAATAAATAAGTGAAGTCCCTTATCGGTTGAATTGTATTACGCTGATAGCGGCTACATATGAACGCTTCCGACTAATCCCTTCGCGGCCACTTCGATGGTACGCGGATGAGGCAAATAACGATTACAGGGGATCGGGGACGTCCCGTCCTGGTATTGAATCAGAAACATGAATCATGACGAAATGTTGAGTCAAATATGCAACATATTCTAATACGGAAAAGGAAAATTATATACACACGACCATGATTGAGAATTTTAACATAGGAGAAAAATTAAAAAATATATATGATAAAGGTTTTAAAAAGTAAATATGCAGTATAAATAGAGCTCTTCGAAAATATGAATCTTATTCATAAAACAGGCAAAATATGCATTTATATGCACCTTCAAACCATGTCCAAAATTTAAGAAACGAAGTAATTCATACATATGTGCAAACGAGCATAATTTCTGGTTGCAAGAAAGAAATATGCATTTGCATTAAAATCCGGTCCCTAGTGTTAATGAACTGAGGATTATATGGCAGTTATAAACATTATGTTTACACGTGACACGGAATTTTGTGTTGGCATTCATCAGGCTTCCGTTATTTTTAAGAAAGGAATGCTTTGATGACAGTCATCGGCCTTCTGGTTCTATGTACAAAAGTAATTTTTTGGTACTATTCCAACGAACACGCTTTATTAGCACAATATTACGTTATTATATCAGATCAAGGTAAATGTCTTCTGAAACATCCTGTAGTCTGAACACCGATTTCAGGTTTCACAGCTTTGACTGAAACAGACAATTCACATTTCATTGTATGTTAGTTACAGGCGTTACTAGGAAACAGGCTTGCCAATCTCATTATCACACGTACCTTACAGCCAATGTTCTCGGGTGTTTGCAATTCATTTAACGACGCCCTGAAGGGTTCAGATTATTTGGCTTGGAATGGTAGGAAGATCCAAATTGGAAAAGATGTGGAAGGAAACGGCCATGGTCTAAAATTAGCTGCTATTTAGCCATTTTCATAAAGAGACTGGGAAAACCCAAGAAGAGTTCCAGAGTAACAGTTCTCTTATCGTAGATTTCAACTCCGAAACGACGCCTACTCTGCCGCGACGTTCGGTTTAACATGCGCTTTGAAAACGTCGTTAAATAAGCCACTGAAATAATGCGGCGCAGGTTAAACAGCTAGGGAATCCTTGAATCTGGGGGTTTGTTTATATACGTCAGTGCAAAGTGTTTATAAGCACACACCTCCACGGTAATTGCTAGGACGCCGTCGTTTTCAGAAGCCGGGAGCTGGATGAACGCCGTCCCGTCTGGCTCAACGGAAACGATCTTGCCGGTACAGAAGCTACCCTGCTTCTCCCCCGAGATGACGTCAAAGTAGGTCCCGCCGGGTAGACTTGTCTGCAATACAGACCAGCCAAATGGGTGGCAGTCATACAGGGGAACGTCACAGTGTGGAGGGATATTTTCTGTACTATCCTCTGATGTAATTTTATTACGCTTCTGGGTCGCAATGTAATTCTGTTATATGGATTAAAATTCACAGATTTTTGTTCGTCGGCTTTCCCTTTTTAATGACCACTCCACCATTAAGCTCTACCCATTTTCATCTTCCCCTATCCCATGAGAAACATAAAGACAAACACGGTTCCTGCTTACGCTTAATATTTAGTTCCAGTGTAATATTCAATGCAGTGTATGACTTGGTCTTTCGGGAATACGTGACGCTGATTGTAGGAATTTTTCCAACTTTTCGACAAGCAAGGCAGTTTCCATCTTTTGTGATGAAGTCGAAAGTAAAGCTGTGATGTGATGACACAGCAGAACTCTTGTCTGTCTCTTCCAATCATAGTTTCACTTGCGGATCACCACCCAATGCGAGGTGTGTATAAAAACAAATGCTTCCAACATTCTCTAAAAGCAATAAACCTGAAGATGGCGACTACAGTGTTTGCCGAAACATTGGGAAACCTTCAGTGTTCTGCGTGAAGTATTCCCGAAAGGCGAAATCAAACATTAACTTCATCTAATTTCGACTGTCTTCTGTCCTCTCAGTTGGTGAATATGGTAATGCTTCCTCCGAATACATTCTTCTTACGATTTGACTGTATGAGCCTTAAAGTAAAACAGGCCACTGACCGCCCACCTGTATCGTCTGGTTGAGGTCAGTGTTATACTGGTCATTGAACGCGATGAAGTCGAGGTTACCTCTGGTGTAAGCGATCTGCTGGCTTCCATTATCCCACCAGTTCGTCACTGATGTTCCTGGAACATTTAGCGGAATTCAGTGATGCAGAAGCTTATAATTCTAGTGCATATCGTTGAAAATAAGACAGTAATTAGTAATTACGCAGTTGTAATGTTGCTACCTCAGATTCTCTCGACATTGTGTCTCATGCCAGTTTGTGTAATTTGTCCAAGACTGAAGATGTAATTGTTATACACTTTGTCCTTCAGTCAAAATTTCCTTATTTCCTGCTGAAAGACGTGTATATATTATTATCTTGTGTGTTTTCCCCTCTAATCATTTTGGAACCACAAATATTTATCCCCAGAGAAAGAGTCAGCCGGTATGAATTAGCTAGGATGCTAGGTGAGCCACTAAGCCAGTCTGGACAATACTCAGAAGATGAAAATCGCTTCCACATGGCAGATATCGAAACGTAATTTCTCCCTCGTCCAGCTTGTAACCTTGTCATTTTACCGACTTAGGCGCTCCCTTAGTTCATGGACACAGCTGCAGATTCAGTGAACAACTGCGAATATTCTGGGAGTGAGAAATTTTTAGATTTCTTTCAGTCGAAATAAATAAATTAGAAGAATAAGAGCAACTGATATCGGAGTCTGTTTCTGCAGTGTTAAAGCTGCAGGAGCGTGAAGCTTACCACTCACTTTCTTCTAATTAAGAGATCAATAAAGTTAGGTGCTGTACCTCCACTCTGCCCTAGTCTTCACGATGTGGCTCATAATTAAGCAGGGCCACAAATTTCCCGCTGGAAATCATCACGTGGGCTCTACAATCTGAAGGCAAGTAGGCGTTACAAGTCAATTCCAGATCTTAGTGTTCTGTCAGTCGAAGTGCGGCTTGATCACCAAATCAGAACTGATTGTTTGAAAAGCCGGCCAGTTTGAGAGGTTTGGGGAGATCTGAGTACCACGTAAATTGCACCAGGTTCGTGAACCTCGCCATGTTATACATCTGCCTCCACAGATGTTCACAAGTCCAATCGTTTCCACACGTTCCGTCCGCATTTATTGCTGGAGACGAACGCTGTGCCGGTCCATGGTCATAGTTGTAAAAATAGTAGCTGGACATGACGCGTGGGTATCCATAAGGCCATGACATAAATGTGCCGGCATCTGTATGTGTGATTACAAGACGTTATAAGCTTCTTTTCTTACTTGCAGAAATACCATCCCTATCAAAACATCCGTCTGTCTCACCCTGTTTCTGCCAAACGGCGCATCGTAGATAGAAAATGATGTTGCTTTTGGAAAGACAAACCCGAAAGAATCGTTCATTTTTATCATAAATACATGGGTTCGAGTCCAAGTAAATTTCTTCCCCGGTCCTTCTTCCACAATAGAAGCACTGAGACAGAGAGTACATAACCTTCCATATTTTATAATAACCATGGTAACGTAATGTGTTTACTCTAATTATGGAGTGGTGTGTTTTCTTTCTTCATTTATTTTTAGGTAATCCAGTTGTGTATTCAGTCCGCACTGAATAGTGTACTGCAATTTTATGTACGCGAAATTCCGATGACAGTTTGGCTGTTTTAGTGCGGGAGTACAGTTACCTGCATAACGCTCCCTCTAGAAGAACTGCTCTGAAGCCCGCAAAGGTGGCACGTTTGAGTCCAAGAACCTACAGACGGTAAATGTAACTACGTGTAAATACCACGAACAACAAAGTGAATTTATGAAATTACCTTCCAGAATTTTCTGCATAGGAACGCTAATTTTGTATGTTACATGTATAAGGGCTAGTTGGGTGTATGTTTGTACTCACAGAGTACGTAGTTACTCTCAGTGTCTGACAGATGGCGTTAATTTCCACACGACCCAGACGCATCGTTTGGTAAAACCTGTTAGATATATGAAAGTCTGTTTGGTGTACGTGTTCTTCCTAGTCCTCACACAGGACCTTGACCTCTGCCCTGCTTAGACTAGTAATATACAGCTTCTACTTAGGACAATTAGAGGAAGGACATTTTGCTCTTCGGTATGAAGCTCAGTTGGGAAGAAAACAATCGGAATCAACTCTGAGAATTTCATTTATTCAGCTGGCCCTGGATAGGAGCCAGTGTATTTGGTGTTGATCTTTCAGGATATTACCTTATCCGCTGAACACCCGTTAGTTTCTTAGAGAGCTTATGTTACCTTGTGCAGTTTTGTTTGTTTATTGGTGAGAATGTTCGCTCCCCGCCACCAGAGCCGCGCTGGTACTCATGATTATCCACAACCACGAGAGCATCGCCGCCATCCAGCATCCCCCATTCTGATCCTGAGCAGTGAACAAATTAGGGAGAGTAACACAGAGGGGGAGGATTTGAATACACACAAATCCGAAACACTTATGATTCTTTAGCGTTATTGAAATGCAGATGAGTTTTTACATTTAGGTTTCAGGTAACATGATCCTTCTAATATGCCAGAAAATTTTTATGAAGTAAAATCGATTTTCGTCAATTTTGTTTATTATATGAAGGACCAAAGTAAAATCATTTAGGAGGTAGAAATTAATCGAATGTGATCGATATTTAATTCTCTCACAGCGATACGAACACTTCGCACAAAGCACGAGGAGTCTGGGGTAGACATGAACAGCAGGGCGAGGCGGTGAAGAAACATTGGAGGGAATTAATTCGGAAAATAATTAGCTCAAATGAACTGTATTTTCCCCCAATACTTTTCTTGAAGACATCCGCACCTAGACATATAAGCGCCTAAAGTAGGAAGACGAATGAATACACAGAAATTAAAATAACCCAACGGTAAAAATATTCGCAAAGGACTTAAACATAAGTTTATAGACGAATATTGTTTTCCCTCGCACCACCCGGGGAGAACCCCGTGAAACCTTCGTGCATAACGGAGCTGCATTATGATGTTAAATTTCAACAGTAACATTCCTACTGCTGCTGTATTTCTCGCCACTGAAAAAGCCTTTTGATCAAACATGGCACCTTGGCTTGCTATATAAATTATCGAAATTACAATTTTCGATGAGTCTAATCAAACTTATTAGTCCTTTTCTTTTTCAGAGAAAATTCAGAGTTTATTTCGAGGGTGTCCGTCCTGTCTCGGATATAGTACAGTAAATATATATATATGATAGGCCCCAAACACGTGGTGTTCATTCAGGTATCTGATGATGACACCTGTATATATGCGACAGACCGCAAAAAAGGTTATGTTCTCAGAAAGCTGCAGCGAGGTCTCGGTGCTGTTGAGACGTATTTCGAGCACTGAAACAAAACTCAGTGAAGATAGGAATCAGGCCATCTACTTTTCTCACAGACTTAGGCCATATATGTCTCATCTTATACTGAATGGACGGAATATCCCCTGTGTCAGTCATGTCAGATATGTAAAATATTTCAATGTAATCTCCGATAAGGAAATTACATGGAGATAGCACATAGAAAAGATTGAAACTAAGGTCTTTAGAACGTTTATTAGAATCTATTCCGTGTTCAGAAGTGAGCGTTTAAGTGCCAATATTAAGGTATAACTCCGTAAGGCACTGATCAGATCAGTAATGGCTCATGCTTGTCTGGAATTAGTGGCAGTCACGTGCTCTTAAAATTGCAGCGCCTGCAAAACAAGGTTCTGCGTACCATTAGAACATTTCCAAGGTGCACACCGGTTCGCGATTTGCAAACGGCTTTCAACCTTCCATTGTATACTCTTATATCAAAAATGATGCAGGCAACAAGCAGAAGTCACAAAATCATGAGAACTAACATGTTCGCGGTATAAGAAAAAGTGAAGCCAGACATAGAAAAAAATAAGATAATTGGCAGTGGTCACGCTTACGACCGTTTAAGTGATTAAGCTGCCGTTATAACATAAGATACGTGAGATAGGCATGATGTGCTCTGTGAAACCAGGAATGTGAGAGGGCTTGTGTGTATTGCAAAAGGAAAACATTTCAGTATTCTGCTATATGTGAGAAATATGCACTTGACGAAAGGCCAAACATATTCATAAGAGACAAACCCATGCTCTTGTCAGGGAGCAGGATTATGACCGAAAGTGTTCAGTTGGAAAAAAATATCTGCTCGTGAATCTCAAGGAGCTTGTCGCCAAGATGAACTGATTGGCGTTAAACCGCCAGTCGTAGGGTAACTGACTTCGACTTTACTTGAAGTCCGAGACATTCGAGAGAGAGTCTGATAGCAGAGAGTTCATTGTGGTAGGTGAAAAGCTAACGGCTGAGGCCGGGGAGAGTTCGCCCAAATGCTGAAGTGGGAGCGTAGCGTCCGAGTTGCTTTAACACCCCCCCCACTACCTTCCTCCACCACAAGACATCACAGAAGATTATGTACTACTCGTAATTATTTCGAGGTTGTAATCGAAGTAGTTACATAATAGTTAGATGCACTTAGATCTGATTGACAGGTTAGAGCAACGTATATTCCTCACATGTTCGTAATTTTACTTCCGGGCTCGGTCTACCTGTGTACAACTATTTCAGGACAAATTAATACTAATAACTCTCTGGGGTTCAGAAATTTGACGCAGAAAGTGCAGTAAGTAACCACAAAACAACATCCCATTACACAGCGACAGAGATGATGATGCTTTGGTTCTATAAAAGCAGGGAATGTCTTTGAAATCTGAGCAATTTTAAGGTGTCTCTGGGTTTTGTTACTTACCAAAATTGTAGAAGTGGCTGATAGGGAAATCTCCGGCAAATCCTTGTCCCAAGTAAGTGCCATAGTTGAACTCTGTAACCCTCCCAAGACTAGTATATTCTCCCCTCTTAACAGCCTCTCCTCCTGCAACAGGGACAACACGCCTTCGGAATGTGTACAGGTAACCAGGCACGCACAGTTCTGCTCTACGCCTTGGGCGATTCACTCTGTGGAAAGAATGGTGATCGACGAATTTGCAAATAGAGTGGCAAAGGAAATATGTGAAATAGAAATACGAGGTCACAGTAGAAGGAGAAAATATATGTGAGAGGGAGCTTCAGAACTTGCAATCTTCACGCTTCTATATTTTTTTCGAGTTCAACTCTGAAGTCTGAATTTGCCAGATGAGCTGTAATGTTAACTTTTCTGTATTTGTTTTGTTTCAGTGAGGTACCGCGTTTTCTATACTTGCAAATCGTTATATAAATTAAATATTTTTATCACCATAGACAATGACTTCCTGGTAGATAAGAGGCCTTGTCTGCGGCGGGAATCCATGAACTGTGCTCAGATTCTTGACGTGGCTGTAGATGTACTGCAGGTCCTGTGGCCACATGTGTTTGGCGGCGTCCACTCTGGAAGCAATGGCACAAAGCATGAACATTTCCTTACTTGGACATCAGCTTGTTTCACAATGCGTGGTCTTGCCTGGGAAGCTACTAGCAGTTAATTTAATAATGAAATTTCTTGGTGCTATGCTGCTGATTTTCTTTGGCTCTTGGGTCCCCCATGGACCACAAATTCTAACTTTTCTCTGTTCTTTGTAAAGTTCCTCTATCTCAACATTTTCAGTAGTATAGCAGGTACGAAAATTAAAGGGGGGCAAAAGAATCAAAATGATGCATTTTGGCGCGTTTCATTATTATTATGATTTAAATATTCGCCAACAACTGAATGAACTGAATTGGTGTTACTGAAGATAAAGACGAAACATTTAAATCATCTCCGTGAAGACGATCTGTGGAGACACGAGATTAATACATTTTCCACGCTTGTTTACATTTTCCTTTCTATTCACAACATACCTTATATTTACGCATGTTTTACTTTTAAGCGTGTGACATCAAATGAAACATGTCCTGTCATCTCTTGATATTGTATGCTAAACATTTGCTGTATCATGCATGTTAAATTTTGAAGTAGCAGTGATTTTCTGCACACACACACAGACACACACACATATATACGTGTATATACTAATTTGAAAATCTCGGATACAAAAATGCAATGTACTCATGCAATGGTTGTATATTCTGAGATACCAACCTAAAACCCGCTATTCCTGCATCCACGAGATAATTCAAGAAATCTATGATCTGCTCTCTGACATCCTGCGTCGTTTGACTGAAGTCATGCGGTCCACTCAGCTCAGACTCCCTGACCTGAAACGTCACCGAACTTCACTTTATGGTTCCTGTAGGCAGGCGACTAGTTACCACAAAATTATTTAAAGAATTTGGTTTTATATGTTGGGCGAAGAAACTAGACCTGTGGACAAAAAAATTATCGCAATTGTACGGAAGATTAAGTTATATCCTTTTGCTAATAAGTTTGTTTCTTTACATATTCCTTTATCCCTTGCATTCAACAGGGCCGTGCCACAGTTCACGCGGTTAGTCGCCGGCTTCCCACTTTTGCGGCCTAGGTTTAATCCTAGGTCAGACCATGTGGGATCTGTGGTGGACATAGTGACATTGAGCCAGAATATCGCCGAGTACTTCGGTTTCCCTTGCCAATTCTCATTCCTAGAACCTGTACAAATTATTAATTATTCTGTGGACTATAGTATAGTCCCGATACTGACAGTATCGTTACACAACCAACTTTAAAAATTAATACTCAGCTGTTTAAAATGTTGTCACGTAGTATATAATGACTACAGACGGGGTTTTGGATCTGATATTGGATTTATTGACCACTTATACACAAATCTCCGAGCTGCAAGTAATTATAAATGCATCGCTGACCTCAACTCATCAGAGATCACTATCTCACAAGCTATGCCCTTCCAGCCCTCAGTGTCTTCGCTAGTTTTTGCCTGGTAGCGGCTTCTAATAATGGCTGTTCCTCTGCTTTCGGGCTCAAGTCTTTTCTGAACGGCGGCTCGATTCTATCTGTACTCTTCTTCAGAGTCAGAGTTGAAGTCACATTGCCACTGACGGTGAGTCAATCAGTCAGTCAGTCAGTCTTGGTGTAGAACCCAATCTGGGGCTCATGACCAGATATTTATTACCGTTTAACAGTTATGGTCTTCTTTCTGTGGGGCACCCTATCTGACGAGAGGACGGATCTGTCTTTTGTAAATGCTGCTGGCCCTTGCCAGCGCAGTCTTTCTCGAGTCCGAGTCCATTGGCACTAGCGACCATATTTTACTCTCTCAGATTTGAAACTTCCCTTTTCGTCGCCTCCTACGATCCGCAGGGTCACGGAGGAGGTATTCGACCTCGCCTCCACACTTTTCTTTCAAGTTTTCTCCTCATAATCCCTTTTCACGAACTGAATAGAAAACACCATTTCTAAGAGTACTTCTGTTGTTGAATGTAGATCCTTTGCATCGAGAACGTGTTCACTGAGCTGTTTCCTAATAACGTCTCTGGTATAACTGATTACCTCTCGAGCGTTGCATAGTAACGGTTGTACACGCTACAATATAGTATTTATCATTCAAGCTCGAGGGCATCAGATGGTGCACATTGTAACGGCAGCAACCACCGCCAGGTCCCTCAACCAGACCCCCTTCTTTCCTTTCCCCCCTCTCCACATGCCCTACGCTTGCGCCCTTCATCCTTTCACCAGGGACTGAGAGGCTCGTCTGAACACTGGAGGGCCATTCTG